TCTGATCCCATTAAGTCAATTAGCACTCTCCTGGCCTAGTGCATAAGGAGCTGTGCTGGCAACCCAAAGGCAAGAGGTTTGAATCCAGCAGTTGCTCTGCAGGACAAAAAAGGACAATCTCCTCCCATGCAATTTAGAGCCTCCAAAAAACCTACTGGAGGGTCAGCTATCACTTAATTCTAATAACAGCTTACATGTTAACAACTACAATTTAAGGTCAACAATATGAAAAGATGAGATTCTTGGTTGACATAAATAAGCTGTGAAAACAAGTTGGTCCGTAAAAGCAGACAAATACTATGTCTGGTAGCTAACTGAACTCAACATCTTAGGAATGAACTGAACCCCAAAGGGAGTAAAAACTGAGTTCCCCCTCAACTGGGGGTGGGGAGTCTGATTCTCCTGAGAGCAAACCCTGAAAAGTCAAAGAGAGCAGAACAGATGATTAGGGTTCATTGAAGATGCAAGAAATGGACCAATGGCACGAGCTGGCAGAATGAATCCGCATTAGTGAATAATCAATCTTCCCACCAAAGGCAAGAGCACTCATGGGAGAAAAGGAAGTGGCCAGTGTTAAGAGAATTCAAGCAACACCAGGAAGTGGCGAGCCTATTAAGTAAGGCTGAGAAAGAGAGACAGTAATTTCCCTCATCTCATCAGACGGCCCCGCTCTGGTATCTTTAGGAAACTCTATGCCTTGCTTAATATATTTCTTCCTGCCTTTCTTTATCTTTCTACATGTGTTGCTTGTTCTTTCTTGGTTAATGAACCACACCTGGAATCCTAACAGGATGCCTTTTGCTTCAATAAACTTTTCTTCTTCCTTACTTGCTAAGTACTGTACTCACTCTTTTTAGTCTATTGCAGTTGCCCAGCCTGCCTCCTCAATGGACTTACCTAGAGCTCCCTGTGGTCAGTGATGAGACCTTTGGGATCAATCCCTATAGCATGTTACACACATATACTGTGCAAATACACCACGTAGCCATAGTGCAAAGAAAAATATGCTTGAGGGAAGGAAAATATTCCAAAATGAAAAATTTCAAAAACTATGCCCGTGCTCAATCAGTAACACTAAACTTTGAACCCAAAATTTACACCTTAAAATTTACTTCTTCTTTTAAAAATTTCCTCCATGAAATCAGGGGTTTAAAAAACCCGAAACCTTAATGTGAGACATTCTTGCTCAGAACATTTGAGCAAAACCTCATATTAAAACAAAAAGCAATGGTCTTGGTGAGAAGTTTTCTGGTTTTCCCTTGATATTATTAAATATCCTTCTGTGTAACTAAGAACTTCTCCACAAATTATTAACAATCTTTTCTCCTTCCTGTGTAGGGGGTTGGGGGAAGAAGGAAATCTGGAAGACATGTGTTTATACTGTGCCCATTTCTATTAAAAGACTCTTTCCTTTGAGTCAAGAGATTATCATGGGCAAGATGAACTGCTCAGAGATCCTCTGCGGAGCAGAGACGGTGGGACAAAGCCTGCAAAGGACAGCAAAACAGAAAACATGATGGTGGAGTCATTCTATCCAAAAGAGGAAAGTGGACGATTTCAAAGGTGAGTTGACAAAACTTTGGTTCTCAACCTCTTTAATTCCTGTGTTTTCCTGCTCACCCTCCTCCATTCATCTACTTCTGTGTCCTTTCCTCAGTTTTTCACGCTTTTATAAGTATACCAAGGAACTGTTCCCTCTTGTGTTCGTAATTCTCTGTGTATTCTCCTTTTGAAATCTTCACCGTCTCATTCAGTTAACACCTAAAAGTAGGGTCTGACTTTTACATTCCTTTTCCAGCTGAGCCATAGCATCCTGGCAGGGCTTCCTCCCTGCTCACAGGATTTGTCCCTCAGTCCTCATATCTCGCTGATGTGAGGAAACACAGTATAAGTCGAAGACAATGTCCAAAAAGTACTACAGGACAACTATCTCATTTTAAAATAAAAAGTATTGACTTGACAACTTTATTTAAATCAATTACCTTATTAAAAAGTGTGTAATCAGCTTCATTTTCAAATTTCTGTTGTGTTGTTCAGAACATTTTACAAGTTTTCAAGGGTAGATTTGTCTGGTGGCCAAAAAGAAAATAAATATCTTTTCCTTTTATTCCTAAGTCCTGATATATATGGATGCACAAAACAAAAGACTATGCCATCAAAGTATTACTTCTGGTTTCTATCCTTTATTTGTACTTTATGCTCAAACTGAAGTAGCCAAACCACTGTAAGCATGTGCTGGGTGGAAACAAGTTTGGCTGGCTCCAAACAAAGGCTTATTTTTAAAGCACAGATGGTTGAGTGGTTGCCTCCTCCAATGAGTTGCCCACAAATGAAAGACAGATTTCTATTTCTAATCTATGCAAATATCTTACTCTGCAGGGCATCACAAAGACTAACTGTTCTGTGTCAGACAGTCTGCGGCTCCCAGGTGCTCACAGAGATGCCAGAGCCCATCTCCACCTGAGATGCAGGGGAATTCAGCTAACAACCCGAGGACTGGCGAGTTCTTCATTAGCCAGCTCCTAATGAATGTCATGCGGGCCTTCTGTGAAGCATTCCTCTGGAAGCCTGCCTCACCACCACTGCCGAGAAGACAGTTGCAACGTTCACTTCGAACCCCAGATGCTGCCAAAGCCTCCCAAAAAAGGTTCCAATTCTCTGAAGGTTCCTACTGACAGGTAGTAGTATTCTTCACCATGCCTTCTGCTCATCTATTTATCTCTAACGCCAAACCCAGAAAGCACTTAAAAATATTATTCTTTGCAAATCATGTATCTTTTGTCCTCTAGCTCACATACAACTCATAGTATGTTTCCCTGGAAAAAAGACCCCCCTACAATGCTGAAAACGGAATCACAATTTTCACCCTAACTTGGCTCCTTATTCAAAACACTGTTTTGCATAAAGAAAAGGTTATGTCTAAAATCTGCATAGTTTAGTCCCAATATTAAAACACTTCTTATGAAGTGTCATCTTAAATAAATCAGGCTAACTGGCCAAAAAGAAAATCTTAAAAGTAAAAACAAACAAAAGTAATGGGGAGTGGGAAGTCTTTCTTAGCTCACATCCCCAATAACTACAATCAGCTACTATTTTGTGTATGATGTGTCAATTTGTAAAATTTAAATATTCACGTTCAACTTACAAATACGAATAACAAAGCAATTTTCACTTCTTTGTAAAAAATCTAAAATGTTGCAAGGTTTTAGAGGTTAACTAATTCATAGACTTTCAAACCTGATGGAACATCAGTACCACCTAAGTGATAATCTTTGCTTAACTGAAATAATATATCTTTACAGAGCTCCAGCTTTATAGATTCCAATTCACACTATGGATGTAGACCCAGAATCCATATTTACAGTTAGGATATAGGAGGTCAGGGGCACTGGGTCTGGTCCAACTAACTACTCAGTATGGCAGTCTCATCTATAAGACAGCAAACAAGAAATCCAAAACATATTGTAGTATCTTGATATTTGTTGTTTTTGTTGTGTATTACTGAGTCAGAAGTGACCCACAGCTGACCCTCCAGAGAGGTTTCTGAGGCATTAAGGGCACAAGAGGAGACTGACCATCTTTCTCCTGCAGAGCAGCTGGTGGATTCGTATCACATACTTTTGTGTTGGCATCACAATTTTTTATCACTAAGCTACCAGAGCTCAATTTAAAACAGCGACATAGAGTTATAAAGATAACTTGAAAATACCTAGAACAGTGTCCTCTTATTTAACCTAGGCCAGTCAAACTCTTACTTCTCCACATTATCCCCTTAACTCTTCTTCCACATTTCATTACCATCCCTATCCTCATATTCCAAGTACATATTGCTTATGGACATTCTGTGGGAAAGGAGTGGAAAGAACAATAGTAGGTGATTTTTTTTTTCATTATATATTAGTATACCTATTTTACCCACTCCATATCACAAACTCTTGGCATGTTTTCAAGAGGGTCTAATCCCTAAAGGAAAATATTAGGCTTGAAAATATAGCACATGAGCAAAAAAAAAAAAAAAAAGAAGAAGAAGAAGATCCTCAATGAGAGGGATTGACATAGTGACTGCTTCAATGCGCTTAAGCTCAGCAGAGATTGTGAAAATGATGCAGGACCGAGCAGTGTTTCCTTCCACTGATACAAAGTCACCATGAGTCAGAGCCAACACTATGGCAACTGACAACAACATTCTACCTGTTGTTGTTGTTATGTGCCATCAAGTCACTTGCAACTCATAGTGACTCTATGTACAATAGCCTTGAAACCTGCTCTATCCTGTGCCAACCTTGTCTCTGACACATCTACCCCCATTACTCCAGTCACTGATGCAATCCATCTCATCGAGGGTCTTCCTTTCCTGTGCTGTCCCTCCACCCTCCCAAGCATGATGTCCCTCTCCGAGGACCGGTCCCTCCTTGCAACATTCTCAAAATATGTCCGATGAAGCTTCAAAACCTTTGCCTCCAAGGAGCAGCCTGGTTTTACCCTCTCCAGGACGAACCTGTGTGTTCTCCTGGCAGCCCATGGCATATTCAATACTCTTCTCCTGCACTGCAACTCAAAGTCATCGATTCTCCTTCTATCATCCCTTGTCATTGTCTAGCTTTCTGATGCATAGCAAGCAATTGCAAAGACTATTAGTAATCTGTCTTTGCTTCAACCTGGCTCAGAATTCTTCAAAATTCAGTTATCAATGGAGTTAATGAATCAGGTTTATTTTTTGGCTCAGAATTCTTCAAAATTCAGTTATCAATGGAGTTAATGAATCAGGTTTATTTTTTCTTTAAAAAAAAAATTCCAACACTGCAAAGCAATTGTTAAATAATTACCAACTACTCCATCTTATTCCATATTATACTCATTACACATGCACACACCTACACATTTACAGACATACATAACCTAAGTCAACCAGCTCATCTACTTTATCTGAAGACTCCCAATTAGTTCACACCCTTAAATGGAACATGGGGCGGGGGAATGGGAGTGGAGAATGCACCTACCTCGTGGCCTCCTGCTGCAGCCAGGACACATTTGGCACATAGAACATGACTCCAAAGAAAAGCAGAGGCTCATTAGCGAATTTGTCCAGATGTTTCTTAAGAGGCTTCTCTAACTCCACCCATCGTGCTTGCTGGCTCTTGCTGAGAAACCAAAGGCCAAAGTAGTGTGTCTAGATTTATTAAAAAAAAAATAGAGTCAGTTCATCATTTACAACAAGCATCCCAAGTCCACACAGGAAAACGGACTTCAAAACCTCATGTCAACTTTGGTTTCTCAGCCCATTCACAAGAACATAGCTTTTACTTTCTAATTTTAAGACAAATAAAAATTAACTATACACACAATATAGTAACCTAAGTCATACCTAGTGTTGTTTTCATTCTCATTACTGGTTTTTGGTACATGTGCTTGGAGGCAGTTTCTGTTAGGTCCATGTTCTAAGGGAGACGTGCAAAGTGGGGGTGGGGGGCGTGCTGCCTTTCTCCTGAGAGCTGACGGCTGACTTTCCCATGTGCCTCCTGGATGCCTCATAATCTCACATGGAACATGCTGGCAAAGCACGCACAGTTACTGCACCTGCTGCAAAATAACGTATTACTCAACTCAGACCAAACCTTCTGCCAGCTGAAGGCTTCCATCCTGTAGAATATTTCCAGACTGTATCAGATTTTAACAGAAACAATATTCACTCTTTTTTGAATGCGTGCAGAGAAGTACTTTTTTTTCTTTTCTTTAAAGCATCACACTTTATCATACACGTGCTGCTGCAAATCTCTCCCTTGTCTCAAGCTTTGGGAGTAGAAGTTGCTTCTCTGCACAGCTGCATCAGAAGCCCCTGCTGGCTGTTCCTGGATGATTACCATGAGTTTAGAGAGATGAAAGTGAGATTTTCACCCTTACAGCTGAAGCTTCAATCAGTTTAGTTTTGAACAATGTGCTAAATGATTAAAACGGGTACTTTTATTCTTCCAATCCCACCCTTCATATTAATTCATGCTAGGATATGAGGATTAGCACAACAATCGCTAAAAAATAGATCCCTGTATTTGAAATATTCTTTTATATTTCAATTATAGCCTAGAATGGCTTACAAGACACCTGGAAATCTGCCTTCAAAAGCACATTTTTATTATAATGTTTACTTTCCAAAGGCAGACTGACAGTGCCACATATCAGGAAATCTAGAATCAACTTTTGACTCTGGCATTACTAGAAAATCAGCCATGTCCTTGCCTACCTAATGGCTCAAAGGTTATCTTCTAATGGATTAGACTTTCCACCGAGAAAATGATCCATCTGTTTTCCTCCATGATGTTCCAAAGGGCAAGTTCACCTCAGAAGTGTATGCATTTCTCAAGCAGTAAAATGCCAACAACCACACTCAAGACCATGGTTCTAAAAACGTTTCTTAGAACTTTTGCTTGAGTGAAGGCTAAGTCTGCTGTTTGCGCCCTAGCTTGAGCGAGTCCATTCAAGTAGTTCCCAGGTGACTGATTCTGGGGAGGGAAGAAAATGTGGCTCAGGAGGGAGAAAACAAGACTGGGTATCTCTCAACATCTGCATTCCTTGGCTCAGTAATTTTGTGCAAATTATGAAGGCTCCCTGACTCGCATTCTCATCTGTAAAATGGGAATGATGTCATTCATTATTCCCACAGGGCTATTAGGGGTATAATTATGTGCATGGGACATGGTGAATGGCTATGTAAACAGGGTTTCCCGTTGCTGCTCTTACCACCACCACTGCTACCACCAACAATATCCACATGGTTTTTAAATGGCTTTGGGCAAACTGTGCTACAAAAGTCTCATTTTAGGTATTTAAGGGGAAAAAAAAGATGTTAGTTTGAAGACTAACATGGACGTAAATGAACAAAATCATAATTCTTTCTCTGGCCTCATACGCAGTCATAAGTTGGACAGTGAAAAAGGCCAACCAAAGAAAAATCAATGCCTTTGAATCACGGTGTGTGTTATGAACTGATGACTGTGAACTGCCAGAAGAGTTAGTAAATATATCTTGAAAGTTGTGCAACCAGAAGGCTCCCTGGAAGGAGAATGAGACTTCATCTCACTTTCTTTAGAATGTTATCAAAAGTCCCTGAAGAAGGCCATCGTGTTTGGTAAACACAAAAATCATTAAAAAGAGGAAGGACCTTCAGTAAGAGAGAGTGGTACAGGGACTTCAACAATGATCTCAAAAAACAGAAACAATTTTGAGGATGACAGGGGATTCTTATTTATTGCTAGTCAGAACCAACTCACAGCTCATCCTTCATTGGATTGCCAAGGCTATAAATCCCATGGGAGGAGTGTGCCCATCTTTCCTCCACAGAATGACTGATGGATTTAAATTGCCAAAGGGTTTCAGTTACAGTGTGACTTTATAAGACTACAACATTAGGGCTCTTTGGCACAGGACTGTTCTGCTTGTGTTAAGTGCTATCAAGTCACTGATGACTCATAGTGACCCTATGAGCAACAGATATGAACGCTGCCCTCCCCTGTACCATGTTCACCGTCTCTGACATTCTGAAACGCACTGTTAGAGGCACTGTCAATCCATTTAGTTGGGGGGGGTCTTCCTCTCTTTCTCTGATCTTCCACCTTTCCCAGCATGATGTCTTTTCCCAAGGACTGGCACCTCTTAATAACATGCACAAAATATGTGAGATATTCATCTTTGCTTTGAAGAAGCACACTGGTTACACTTCCTCCAAGATAGACGTGGGTGAGGGGAGGGGGTTGGCAGTCCATACGATATCTGGTGGCATGCATTTGACTGTGTGGATCACAACAAATTGTGGCTAACATTGAGAAGAATGACAATCCCAGAGTACCTGATGGTGCTCACGTGAAAACTATACTCAGAATAGAAGACAGCAGTTAGAACAGAGCAAGGAAACACTGCATGGTTCAAAATCAGTAAAGGAGTGCATCAGGGATGCAACCTGTCTCCACCCCTTTTCAATCTGTATGTAGAACTGATCATTCGGAAAGAAGAATGTGACATCAGAGTTGAAGGAAGACTCATCGATAACCTGCATTATGCAGAAGACAGAACCTTGCTTGCTGAGACTGAGAAACTGAAGCATTTGTTGCAGAGGGTTAAGGACAGCAGTCTCGAATATAAACTGAAATTCAACCTCAAAAAAACATAGATTCTCACCAGTAGGCCAACTGGTAGAATCATGACAGACAGAAAAGAGACTGAGATTGTTTATAATTTCAACTTGCTTGGTTCTACAATCAACACTCGTGTTACTAGCAGAGAGGAAATCAAAAGATGAATTGTATTACGAAAATCTGCTGTCAGGGACCACTCCAGAGTGCTAAAGAACAAGGTTGCCAGTCTGGAGACTAAGGTGCACCTGATCCCAGGCCATGGTCTACGCAATTAATTGTTGTGCATTGGAAAGCTGGATAATTAATAAGCATAAAAGAAGAAGAGTCAGTGCCTTTGAGTTGTGGTGCTGAAGAAGAGGACTGAACATACCATAGAGTGACAACAGAACAAATAGGTCTGTCCTAGAGAGGTTGAAACCAAGTTGCTCCTTGGAGGAAAGGATTTTGAAGCTCCACCTCATGTACTTTAGGTATGCTGCCCAGAAGGACACATGCCCTTGGAGAAGGACATCATGCTTGGAAGGGTAGAGGGATGGCACAGAACAGGAAGATCCTGGATTGATACAGTGACGGGGTAATGTATGTCAGAGTCAGTGATATTGGCTCAAGATAGGGTAGGGTTCGAGGTTCAAGCTGATGTACATAGGGTCACTATGAGTGACTTGATGGCACATAACAACAACAGTGGTAAAAAGCCACATTGAAATCCCAAAGGCACATAGCTCATATCAACCAGCTACTCTTCAGGAGAAGAATGGGTTATTTCCTGTATCATTTACTGACTCTGAAAACCCACTAGAACACCAACTATGGGTCGGTTCTGACTCATAGCACATAACAATACATAGGATATTTATTAATCTTCTCCAACACCACAGTTCAAAGGCATCAATCTTCTCCTGGCATCACTCTCCAAGTTTTCAGATATTTAAGAAGCAAATGGAGTATTATGGCTTAAATCAGGTGTAGCTTGGTCTTTAAATTTACATACTTGCTCTTAAGTACTTTGTGGAGGCTCTTGAAAGTAGAGTTTCCAAATGCAACATGTCTTTTTATTTCTTCACTGCTATAATTGTAGGTGTTCATTGTAGATCCAAGTAAAATGACAATTTCAAGCTTTTCCCAATCTATCATAATGTTATCCATTGTCTAGTAGTAAGAATTTTTTGTTTTCTTGATGTTGAAGTGTAACCCACATTGAAGGCTATAATCTTTGATATGTATTTCATTTACTGCCTCTGAAAACCTTTTGGAGGGTCAGCTATGAGTTGGTTCCAGTTCTAGGGTAAACAACAACAACATCAACTATCACCGTTGTTTGTTATCAGGCAAACCCTAGAATCTTTTTCATTTGAACTACTGGCATCCCTAAGAACCAGGGAATTAAAAATCAGATTAAAGGGAGCTCTGGTGGCCTAGTGGCAAGAAGCTGCACTGCAATCCTAGAGGTGCGCAGTTCGAAACCATCAGATGCTCTGCCGGAGAAGGAGGGGCAATCTCCTCCTGTACCAGTCAGATCCGACTTGATGGTACACACATAAAAAATAATAAAATAAAAATTTTTTAAAAATCAGATTATAAGGAAGCAAAAGTGGGCAATAGCAGGCCTATACATGGCATTAAAATCTAAAATGTCTAAGAAAATAAGCATTATAAATCAGTGCTTTCCCTAAGATCCCTGTCCCACCCTCCCTCCCTCCCCAAGAATCTCATTACAGTTGTTTAGGAAACATTCAAATGTCATTGAAATCTTCTACTCAAGGATGTAAGGTGTAAGCTGAGGCTAAGCATAAAATACGGTAATGAGTACTTGAATAAAAATTTGCCTGAAAAGACTGCAGCAAAAGACCTGAGTGTGTCAGAGATTGTGAGGATGGCACAGGATAGGATGAGGTTCAGATCTGTTGTTCATAAGGTCACTGAACCTAACAACAACATATAAATTGGCAGTTTCTAAGGAATAAACTTATATTTTTTAACTTCTTAAAAAAAAAAAAGACCAAAGCAATTCTGCATTATATTGAATTCCTTTAGGAAACGCTCT